ATATGATGCATAATATGCAAATCATCTCATAACACTAACCGACCGTGTTGATCCTCATTTCTGTTATTTATTTATTTATTCATTTTCTGTGTGTGTTTTATGCATAAGATCATTGACGCCTTGATAATTGCAATTTTGTCAGAATTTGTTGTTTCCTGTGCACACCATGTGTTTCTTTAATATATAGAATTACAATAATAGAATTACAAAAGAAATGACATCAAATACATTTATTTGTATTTATTCATTTTTGTTTTAATTTTGTTTTCCACTGTTTTCTCTAAAAGACAGCAGTGCTTATTAAAGTGATAACTGGCACAAATCATGTTCTCAGAAGACATAAAATAAATAAAAAGAATAAACAACAGTGCAATATCTATATAACAAAAATGTAAACTATAAGGCTATATTTCAATGTTAAATGAACTGAGCATTACACGTTCATTTATAATCTGATCTTGTGTTACTGTGTGAAGTGTGTCTCTTCTAGCTGAAATGAGTAAGAGAGGATTTTCTAATGTGGCTCAATCACTGCCAGCAAACTGTGAAATCCACAGCTGAATAGATGTGGACTCTACAAATGAATAGTTGTGGACTCTAGAACCGAATAGAATTGGGCTCTACAACCAAATAGATGTGGACTCTGCTCAACTGAGTAGAGGTGCAGATCGGCAGCTGTTAGCATCTCTATGGAGCGAGTTGTTTGTTTCACCCATTCAGACTTGGTACTTAGCAGCTGCTTGAATCTTGTGGAGTGAAGTAGCTGCTGAGCCCTGTGCCTTCTCCATGAGGCTGAAGTTGGCTTCCTCCTTCTCAGCTTCTCATTAAAATTTTCAATTCCACCTGAAATGGAGTAGCATTAATATGTAACTAAAAAATTTGAATAAGTAGCTGGCTGACGTTAGCTTTGTGTTTTCTCCTCACTCACTGACACATTTGGACGATGTCTTCACAACGAGTTTTTGCATATTTGGGGTATTAACATAACCCGCTCATTAAGCGATGTCCGCACTTTGTCACTGTTCGATCTACCACTCTTTGCTTGTTGTTGTTGTACTCTGAGAAATCTCCCCATTCAAACAGCTTGACTAATCAACCATCTGAGGTAGGCTGACCAAACCATTTTTTTCGAGATCCAAGAGCTGCACCGTGGAGTTTTTTTCTGCTCATAGTTATCACTTCTCGGAATATTGCGTATTGGGCTAAACAGAACTATAGAAGTCATTGCGGGAATCATGCATTTTATAGGATGAAATCTAATTGTATTCGATTCACAGTGTGTATCATCTCACAACCCCTCTGAGATGATAAAAAAAAAAAAGAATATTAGCATGCATATTGTGACTCTTTAGGGAATAAAAAGTGATTTTCTATGGCATCACCCCAAAGAATTATTTTTGGATTGTGTGTGTTATGATGTAATGTACTGGATGGAGTTTTAGTTTAGTCTTAGTTTAGTTTAGTCAAATGTTTCTTAGAGAGAGAAATATATTAACATCTAACTGAAGTGTGTTTCAGACCGCCTCCTAAAGTGGTTTCAGTGATCGGATTTGAATTTGTTTAACATGTCTCTTTGGCTCAATTTTTCATGGATAATCCCTATCCGGATATAATCTTGATATTCAAAATGCATGGAAATTCCAGGTGTAAACAGGGACTACAGATCTGTTCAAACTAAACCTTCTGATTTAAAGCTACAATAAACATGCAGTAGAACAAGATTACGTGAACAATAGTTATACTGCGGAGTGTAGCAGAGGTGCACAATAAATCAGTTAATCAATCCATGCCAGTCTAAGATCTTTCAGGATTAGTCAAAGGTGATAAATGTGAAAAAGAGACTGACAGTATTGAAATACTGCTAGTATGACCATTTTGTTGGCAGAACATATAAGAAGTGAGTTTCAGACTTTATTGTTTTTGTTTCTATATATTTATCTAATGTACTAAGTAATTCTCTGATCAACAGAAAAATAATGCAATAAAAGAAAACAAAAGAAATCTATTACTTCAGCATGCTTATTGTAGCTGGAAATATAAATGCTCCATGGAGAGCTGTGTGTTTGGACAAAACCTGAGGCTTAATCTGGTTCTGAAAAACTACCTCATACATATCCCTTAATGAAGTAAGTCCAAATCTATCACCCTATCTAAGTGTACTTGCAGACATGTTTAATCTCCCTTTCACCATGGGGCGGGAGGAAAAAAAATACATTCAGCACGGAAATTTAGGGATAATTATGACCTCAGACAGAGACATGGGGTCTAGACGGGGTGTAATAAGATTTGGGCTGTGCAGCCAAAGTGCCCTGTGCTCTAATTCACCTCGCACTGTTTGGGTGCATTGCGCCGCATGGATCCATCACTTCCAGTCACGGCGATCCGGCATTGGCAGGCAGATTTGATTAGGGCGTACAGTAGTGCTCAAGCTGTCTGCAGATGTTTAGAGCGCTTAGCCAGGCCCTTTACAGACTCTCAGTGTAGCTATTAGTGTAGCTGTCTGGCCCATTTAACACACAAGCTCATGTATTACAGACACATGTATTGTTTCTACAACATCATGACACATAACATCATAATACATGGCAGACCATCATGACATTTAGCACACTGCTAGCTCTAAATCCTGAGATATGTCCCAGAGTACACCTCTATGTTTTAAAGTTTTGTCTAGTTCTATATTATTATAAATATTTTTTTTAACAGTTTTTATAAGACACTACCAAAAAGTTAAAGAAATGAAATTAAAATAATGAACAAGACAGAAAAACAAAGAATCATCAATCTTAAAAAACACTGGGGGAATAAGTCAGCACAAATAAGAACTGCTGACAACTTCAGGTTGTTGAGTTGTCAGGTTATTATTATATAGTGTTATGAAGGGGAACCAGGCAACCCTTCCAAAAAAATTAATTTTCCTCTTTTTTTAATAAAGCATTTGATGGAATATGTAGACATTGTTGAAGTTTCAAAACTAAGTTGCAAAACATTCTATATTGAATGTACATTTACATATATATGCTCAACAAGCATTGTAAGAACACTATACTAATACAGGGTAGGGCCTCCCTTTGCTCTCAAAACAACCTCAGTTCTTCATGGTATGAATTCCATAAGATGTTAGAAAGATTTCTTTGAGATTCTGGTCCAGGTTGACACAATTACATCATGCAATTCTTCTTTTCTGGTGTACTTCCATGCCGCAAATCTCTCGTTCTTTCACATGCCAAAGGTGTTCTGTCCAACTCAGATTCGGTGACTGGGAAGGCTGCTGAAGAACATTGAAATAATTGTCATGTTCATGAAACCACTTTGAGACGACTTTTGCTTTGTGACATGGTGCATTATCATGCTGGAAGTAGCCATTAGAATATGGCAAATTGTGGTTATAAGGAATGTATATGGTCAGCAACAATACTCAAATAAGCTGTGTCATTCAAGTGATGATTGATTGGTATTAAGGGGCTCAAAATGTGCCAAGAAAACATTCCCCACACCATCATACCACCTCCACCAAGGCAGGTTGGGTCCATGGATTCATGCTGTTGGTGCCAAATCCTGACCCTACCATCTGTGTACCTCAAAATCGAGATTCAACAGCCTAGGCTATGTTTTACATTTCATTACTGTCCAGTTTTGGTGGGCCTGTGCCCACTGCAGCCTCAGCTTTCTGTTCATGGCTGAAAGAAGCGGAACCTGACATTGTCTTGTGCTGTTGTAGTCCATGCTTCTCTGCTCACAATAATTGTATAGGGTGGTTATCTGAGTTACCATAGTCTTTACTGCAGCTGTTTCTGTCTGCAGAACTGCCACTCACTGGATTTTTTTTTTCTTTATTGCACCATTCTGAGTAAACTCTGGAGACTGTTGTACATGAAAATCCCAGGAGATGAGCAGTTATAGAAATACTCACACCAGCAAGTCTGGCACCAACAATCATGCTGTAGTAAAAATCACTGAGATCATATTTTTTCCCCATTCTTATCGTTGATGTGAAAATTACCTGAAGCCGCTGGCCCATATCTGCATGATTTTATGAGCTGCACTACTGCCACATGACCGTTACATGAATGAGCATGTGTACAAGTGTTCCTAATAAAATGAGTATGTTATGAGGAGTGTTTTAACTTTGACAGCTTTTTGAGGCACAATACAGCCAGTTTCCACAGAGGTCATTTACATATATCCATCTTCTAAGCACCTTAACAAAAAAAGAGAGGTTGGAAAATGGACATGTGTAAATGAATTATACTTGGCTTTAATACTTAAACTCTCACAAATGTAATTAGTGGACCTCAGTGAATAAAGTACAAGATATAAGATATAGGCACAACAAATTCCTCTAAAGTGAGAAACTGTATGATGTCTCTTTTCCAGTGACCAGAAAAAAAGTGAAAGACAGCATTTCCAGTTTAATAAATTATGTCTGGTTTTAAATAGAAAATGTCTAAGTTCTAAAATACAGAATTAACACCACATAGGAGAATGAGTGACAGTCTTTCAAAAAAGCCTCAGGCATTAGCCGCTGGGCGGACTGTGCTACGCTTTATTGATAGACGCTGTAATTAAGTGCAGGCGTGGAGAAAAGGGAAATTGCACATTCATCATATCAAATTAGCCTATGTGGGCTCACTGAGGGCGGCCTAATGACTCCTTTCTCGCCCCTGCTGTCACCGCTGGCCAGGTTTTCTAACAGCAAGAACAGCCACAGACCTGATCGGCTGCTAAGGGGTTAGCTTTGCAGCGGAGCGTTTTGTATGGAATTAGCACGTTGGCTAACTGCCACGTGTCACTGTTCCAGTATGTTGCCAGAGAAATGGTTGTAGTATGGTGATTTGTAGCATATTTGTGTTGAGGGTGAAGTAAGTTCAGGGCTAAATTTTTATAGTGCTAATATGCCATGTCAAGTCTTGGTGTGGTAAATATGACCCCTAGCCATGCATAGTTTCAGTGTGCTTGACCACTGACCTGCATTTCCCTTCTCCTTTTTCTTTCTGTAGTGGTTCTTCTGGACACCACAGCTGTATTGGGTGAACTGGGCTGGATGACCTATCCAGTAAACGGGGTAAGTGCTGACATCGTAGCTATGTTGCCGTAATCTTTAACTTTAGCTGTGTTTGGATTCACTCCCTATTACAGAGATAATACATAGAGTATCACATATCGTTTTGTTTGAATTTTAAATCTTTGATCCATAGTTGTTCACCAGTCAGGTCACTATATAGCAAACAGTGTAACACTACATGCTGAATAGCGAATGAGTTGAACATAGCAAGCACTTTTTGGGGTACTTAAGACTAGTTGTGAATTTGAAGTGCAGGGCAAATGGTAAATCTCCACTGAACATCACTTTTAGCCCTGCTTCAGGTGTAATCTGCCTGGAGGAAGCTGGCACATTGACAGAATCCCCCCATTTTAGTAGTTCTGATACTTAGTCGTTCTTTCAAGTGGAATTGAGCAGCCCCATTCTTCACCGCTGCACTGCATTTTCTCTAGTGCATTAATGCCCCGTTATTTTCTCTGCCATTTGGAAAATTTGTTTCATTGTGAAACATCAAAGTGTCTCTTGTAAAAATAGCATGCCGCACAACACTAACTGCTGCCTGGCTTCTGAATAGCTTATTTGTCAGCAAGGAAGCCAGATGGGTGCTGATCTGGGATCATGCTTTTTTCTCTTCCTATACTAGTTTTAGTAGTTATTTAATCATTTTTAAGTAAAACCTGATTCAGAAACTCAGGCCCAACTCTGACATGGTGAAATACACCAATATGAAGATAAAAAGTTTTTGACCAGTGAGTCATTAGGTCCAATTCAAATCACATTGCTATTTGCCCAAAGGCTACGGCACAAAAAAAAAAGAAACCTAATTTCTTTACATTTTATATCTTCCTTCATGATTAATCAGAAAATTAATTCACTTAAAGCTCCTCTGTATAAATTATTGTCATTTATGCTCATTGTCAAACATTATATTTCTGCTTGATCCGTGCAGCATTAATCTATGTAACAGTGAAGCGTGTTATAATGAAATTTAATCAGACTGGGTTAACACTGACACACTATTGATGATTCAAGATGTGTGCAGAGAGCTTTTTAAGGGGTAATTAATACCACAGTCCTCAGACTATCTTCGCATAAACTTTTCACTCCTTTTTGACTGCCTGCCTCCCTGTTGAAAGGAAATGTTTCATTGGTGGGTTCCTACAATTTCAGTAAGTCTCTGTCTGAAAGAATGAAATCATTTAGTGCTAAGCTTCGAACACTGTGAAAGTAATCTGCTAGGGTATGGCCTCAGGAGCCCCTGAATCTGAAGAGGTTTTAAACTATAGAACTGTACAGGCCTTTGACCAAAACTCAGCTTCAGTAGAGGGACTTGCTAATAGAGTCTAAGTTTTAGTCAAGTTCATTGGTTTGGAACTTGAAGTGTTGGGACTCTGATTAGACCTACTCTCCGATTTCCATATTCAGATACAACTGATTCCCCTTATAATATTTATATATATTATATTATATTAAAAAATATATATGATTTTGGTGTTTCTGAAATAGATGCCTCTAAGTAAGGAAAAATCTCCCTTTGCTTCTCCCTTCGCTTCCACTGGGAATAGAATTAGGCAGAAAAATTACTTTTAGAAACCTGAATACACTACTAATGCAATGATGCAATATTCTCCAACAGTTGCTATTATTTTCCTGTAATGGTGGACCATTACCGTATCACTTTACTCCTTCTCTGCTAACCTGAATATGGCCCAAAACATTCTGCCTATGTCTGACCTGAACCACAGCTCCACGTTTATAACTCGATCTGAACACAACAAAATTTTGTCCAAAGTACACTAGATTAAACGCATTAAACTTTGATTTACAGCAGATTACAGACAACCTGAGAGATAGTGTATAGATAGTAATAGAGTTGTTTAACAGGAAACCAAATGTATTGTTAAGTGTTTTTCCTAAGACGGCCAAAAATGTTAGTGCCCAAGCAGAGATTTGAACCCCATTCTCCAGTGTATAAGATTGCAATGAGGTAGCTGAGCTGTGCCTCGCTGAAATCTTGAAGGATGACCATATAAAAGACAGTTGTTTTACCCGCTGACCAAAGGGGCACTTGTACAGTCTGTGAACAAAGGGGCAGGGGATCAAGCCCCACCTGGAGTCTATCTCTGCATGTGCATGAAAGTCATTATAGTGAAGTCTGCCCCCCCCCCGGACAGTTAAGGCTAGACTCCTATCTCTTTGAATGGGGAGAGATGTATAACCCAAAACTTGTTGATAAAATCTGACAAAAACAAAAGGTTTGTAGCGCTTGTCTCAAATTTCATGTCGTTCTGGCCACTATCCTAAGCTTATCTCCGCAACAAGGGGGACCTTTGCCGCTTATGCTTGGCAATTGACTTTTTTATTGAAGGGTGGGACTTCCTGTAATGTTAATGTCCACCATGTTAAGATTCATGAACTATCCCTTTTATACATTTTTTCAACCTGTGACCTGTCTCCTCCTCCTATTATAATGTCTCTGCCCTGTATATGCCTAGTTATTTTTGTGCCGTATCTTACTTTAAAAACATGCTTCTGACCACACACAAAAAAAAAATAAAAAATCTTCACTGCCCCTCAAGGCTGGTCATTAACAATGGGTAACCTATATGTATACCCTGTTGACATTTTGTCTATGTTCAGTTATTGATGATGTCTCCAAACTCTAAACTTCTAAATGTGTTAATGTGTTTGGATCAACAGCATGTCTTGCATTCTTACACACACTGTGCAGCATCTGTCAATGACTTAAAGAGGTAGCTGTGAGTATGTTAGCATACTTGAGCCTTTTTGATCTCTGAAACTACACAATTCATGGATGAACCAAGGTAAATAAACCACTTTTCAACATCAAGTTAGACAGATGACTAGGCCTTGCTGCTTTATATGCACTCATTAGGCTTTCTACCTCCCTCTGGCAAATAATTATGAACTATCTGCTATATTTTGGAGGAGCTATGTGTGAACATGGCCTTATCAATACAGACACTGTCAAGTCTAACAGCTTTCTAAACCTACTATGTAATTAGATCAGGCCTACATATATCAGCCTGTATAAAACGAACAGAATGAACCTTATTGTTCGTACCAGTTTAGGAACATTATTTATTTTGAGAACATAATTTTTTTCTCTGTTCAGAGCTCCAGTTTTGTTCAAGAGAAGGCTTAATCGCTGCATGGAAAACTGCTACAAATGGCCGCCTTCCAGCCCAGCCTTGGACTAAAAAGTGGTTAGAATGGCAAGACAATAGCTGAGGGAGTTTTTGTATTTGAGCATGTGTAAAATGACCTACTATGCACTAGCGGGGGTGATTTCCCACGGGGCCTGCTGTGCACATCTTCTTATTGGTTCAGCTCCTTCTCTGGAACCCATGTTGTGAAGGCAGGGCTGATTTCCACGGTAACACCACACGAGTTTTCATTTGTGCTGCAATAACAAGCCAGCACACACCTCTCCGATCAAATCAATAATTCATGCCATAATATCTTGCATGTAATGTTACCTGCACTCGCTTGGTAGTCTCTCTCTTGCTTGATGTCTCTCTCTCTTTCTCTCTCTCTCTCTCCCTCTCTCTCTCTCTCTCTCTCTCTCTCTCTCTCTGCTCTCTCTTTCTCTCTCTCTCTCTTTCTTTTTTCCTGTCAGGTCAGGCTATGTCATGTTAATCAAAGCCTCTGTTCTTTTTTTTTCTTTTTCTTTTTGTGAGCCAGATGGAACACACACACCTTCTCTAGCCTTGGGAGACTTCTCCTGCCATTTAATTTGTTTTCTAGTAAAGGAGGACGAGAGTGTGTTTTGTTTACACTGACACAGACATATCCTTCGGGTATATTTCTCTCTCTCTCTCTCTCTCTCTCTCTCTCTCTCTCATTCTTTCTCTTCCTCTCTCTTTCTCTCTCTTCCTCTTTCTCTCTCTCTCTCTCTCTCTCTCTCTCTCTCTTTCTCTCTCTGTATGCTGCAGCAGGTTTGTTTGTGCTGTTTTGTTGACTATTCTCCTGGCTCCCCTCCTTGGTGTGTCCCTCCGAGGCGGCTCTGTAATTACTAAATGTGTCACGGAGCCTCTGTGATTTCTCACACGGTGTATTTGGGATTCCTGTGTTTTAATGCGGAGGCAAACGTCCCTATGCGGCACGTGCGAAGAGAGACCATATATTGCATGTTAAATGAACTTTCAGAGCAGCTAAATCAGAAGACGTAAACTTCACTGTGAGCGCAGATGTGTTGAGGAAGTTACACAGGAAATGAAATAAAAATACAATTACAGAGGTGTAGTGCAACTATATATAGCATCTGTGGCAACAACAGTGGTACGTCATACACAGAGCTACTGCAGTCAGACACTCAGATGTAGTAAACCTTTAGTGGCAAATTTTAATCACAAATTGGACACAGTTTGGCCAGAAAAGCACATATGAAATTGGTGTACGAGTCTAAACATATTGTTTATGCAGTTTATGCAGCAGGTACATGGAAAAAATGCATTTCTCTCCCTCATAAATATGCATCTGAGGGAGGATCATGCAAAACATTGACAGATATTGGAAATACAGCTGATTACGTATTCAATTCAAGTCCTTTCAGTCAGTTGCACGCTGAATTTTCTAGCGGCAGTGTCTCAAAAGTTGTTGTTTGGAGATTTCCTTTAGCAATGGCAGCAGACATAGTGGCTAATCAGAGGTACAGACCTTCTTGAAGTCATGCTGAAAGAATATTTACCAACAGAATAACACTATTTTATCTCTTACAACTCGTCCAGAGTTGGACTCTAGTAGTGTCAAGGGTAGTACCACACCTCCAAAAGTGGTGGGGCAAAATTTAAAGGTTCCAAAAAAAAAATAAAAAATTAACCGAAAAACAATTTGGCCACTGATTGTCTAACAGAGGCATTATAAAGAATAAGAAAGGAGAGCTCGTAATGCTCAACATGTCATCTGTTGACAAAGAAAGTCACACCCATCGATAAAAAGTGGCAACAGACTTGCTGGTAAAGCCGCAAGGGAGAAGAGCCATCGATCATAGTGGAGAT